GGTGGTTAAATCTTTTTGTATAGATATGGCAGCTAAGGCAGTATAGCCTCATCTGCAGTGGTTGCATGGTGCAGGGGAGGGGAACATCTGTTTCTTGAGTTTTCCCAAACGTTATTGACCACGTGGTCAATTTGCACTATCTGATCATCTGAAGAGCCCAGTTGCTGAGAAATTTTTAGGATTCTTGATATTCAGGGAATAGACCATGGCTAGTATTTCTAAATGTTTAAATTTTAAGATTGGAGATACTAATTATGATTTGGTTATAATTTGTACAAACTGTAGTTTAGGAGCAAAGAAACTCCCCTAGTGGATCAGGCCACCAGTAGAACAAGCTGGGTTATCTGTCTGCAGCAGCAGTCCATGGATGTGCATCTCTGAGCTGTTATTCATGGACACACAGTTGCTCACAATAGCTTTAATACTCACTGCAGGTTCCACAGTTCTGTGCCAGCTCAGGTGTCAGTAACTGAAAAGCCCCCTAGTCCAGTCCTGCCCTCCCAGCTGGGCACGCTGACACACGAGAACCAGGGAGCACCTAAGGACAGAAGGGAAAGGAAAAGGAAAAGAAAGGAAATCAGGGACACATCAGAGCTTAACATATGGAGTTCCCTGCACAATTTATTTGATGCTCTGTCCAGGCCAGTGAGTTTCAGATAAGAGTTTAATAGGCAAGAATGTTGCTTGCACTTGTTTTCAGGTCACAATGGTAGCCCTTAGTTGGGACAGGATCCAGCTTCATATTTATGTTTGATATCATATTATTTCATGACAAAAAATATTTTGTGAGATCAAATATGAAAGAACCTCTAATGGTATTGTAGCTGCTGCCAGAACTTTTTTATGTCCTATGAAATGAAAGAAATATGTAAATGTAAAGGAAATACATAGCTAAATTCCAGGTTTGAGCTAAAGGTCTTTGACAAATTCCAAGGGACACCTCTGAGACAAAACATGGAAAACAAGGGTTGTGACCTTGTAGGTACAAGAGAAATAGGGGGGGTAGGCAACTGATTCCAAAATTATTAAAATCGTGTATGGAGCAACAACCTCTATACCTTAAACTTTTGATTATATCATTAACAGCCATGTCAGCTTTTGGGCTCTTACCTTCTATTTCTTAATACAATTAGATTTATTTTATATGTGATAATTAATAACATGGCATTTTGTTGTTCAAATTTGGGTTAATTCAACATAATTTTTGTTGCACTTATTTATTGTAGTTTATGGATAAAAACACTCAATCTTATCTTCATCATAATACAGTATTTGTCTTTGCTATTTTATTTTGCCCCATGTATTTGCATACATATCTTTCATTTATAGAGTTATCTGAAACAATGCCTTCAAACCAGTCTTTATATGGTCTGGACAAAGCTGTATAAAACTTTTGAACAGTATGAATTATATGCTTGCAAGTGATTATCAGTTGTGAACCAGATTCACCATATTAAATTGCAGACCATTTAAAGGTGATCCAGTGTAAATATTCAGTTAAAGCAAGAAATGGAACACTGTTCTAATGAGAGAATGATGGAAAACAAATTGATATTTTGTCTGAGAAGTCATGAGAAGGGACTAAATCTTAAGATAGACAAGGTTAAAGAAAGGTTAATACCAATAAAGGAAGAAGGATTGCTAAAACAACTGAGGAGATTTATGAAAGAGTGCATTCCACAGATTTGCAGCTATGAGTACTGCAGGCAAAGGAGTGTGGATGACAAACTGTTTAAAGAAGCAGTGAAGGCAGTGGAATACTGGAGTTATATTTCCTTTGGGAGGTCAAAGAAGCACAATATCCAGTCTTCTTCTCCTGTGTTCTATGGGTTTATTTTTTTTTTTTTAGTATAGAAGTCAGCATTAGAAATACTATGGTGGAAATTCATGCATTGGGTAAATTTTGGTAATTTCTTTACTTTTCATCTGATGTATCGGGGTTTTTGTTCACCCTCTGGATTTGTTTGGTGTTGATACAGACATAGGCTTGGCAAAGCTTACAGATGAAAAGGCAGTCTTGAGTTTCCAACAAAACTACATCACTTTTAATTAAAGCACATCATCTAGATGATGAAAGACAGTTATAGAGAAATTTATCTACTTTAAATGCTTTAATTTTTCTCCTTGTATTCTTGCACTTGTCTTATATTTCATGGGCAGTGACTCTGTTTTGCTGCATTTTTAGCACGGTGGGATGTTATAAGGCTACTTTCTGTTTTAACCTCAGTTTATGATGTTCATCGTGCCATGATAAGCTGAAGCACAGCTTTTCTGTGTGTGAATTTTGCATTTTGTTTTGTTTCAAAATGTCTGCATTTAATGGGATTAGAGCTTACAAGCTGTTTTACTTGCAACATTTTACAATGTCGTGGTCTTGTTTGAAATTTCGGTTTCAAGTAGTGATCAGATTTCTCACACTTTTAAACTATGAAGAAAAATGAATTTACTGAGATTTAATTTCTTCATTTGAAAATCTCACCTGTAATAATCAAGTTTGCAAAGGAAAAAGCTAAATACTTCCAGTGTGTGATATCTCTGAGTTCACAGATGTACTTTATGATGGTAACTTTATTTTGTAAGATTTAATGCTTCATAACATCATTAGTTTGAATAATTATGTAAGTCATGAAATAATATAATGTTTTGTAGCTGCATACTGATTGTCAACAAGCAGTTTCCCACATCTCCAACCCTGTTTCAAGCATGCTCTTTATCACATTTTGCTGATTTTTTTATTTTGGCTCCTGCTTGCTGCCAGTAAAAACAGCATTTTTCTTTTTAACATCTGAAATTTTGATAAAACTTCTCAGGTTCTCGAATGTGTAAATGCCCATTCTAGTTAAGGAGAGTATTTTATATAAAGCAAGAGGGAATATAGTCACACACACGGAACTGAAATGCTCACCAGAGTATTTCATAGTTAACAGCTGCCAGTAAGAGAACAGGTCATTAACTTTCCATTCTGCAGCAAGTACATGCCACAGCAACTTTTCAGAGTATTATAGGGAATGCCACAGAAACGAGTGAGCTCTCTGCTTCTCTACACTGGGCTAATTTCCTATGGACCAAATTTTGGAAATGCTCTCCAGTATTCATCAAGTGTTCAGCAATCACCCAACAGCACAGGACATCATGGAAAACTTTTGTGTTCTTCTTGTCTCAGTGTCTTGGGGATGATTGATGTAACTCATGCTTAAATCCTATAGCACCTGCTGTGAGTGCAGACAGGTATAGGGAAAGGATTTATTTTCAGGATTATTTTCCATGAGGAAGTGTATAAACTATAGATAGAAACATAATCAGTGAGCTAAATACTTCAGCTTCTATAATAACATTTTTGAAAGATACACAATAGGGAAAATTATGAAAACCTTGACTATGTTAAGGTTAGCTAATTGACTGATATATGGTACAATTTCCAAATTTTATCCTTGTGAGCATGTTTTGTACAAGTCTAAGAAATACCAAGAGATCAGCTTTAGTAGATACTACGAGCACTCCTAAGGTTGGGCTTAAGGAACATTAAATACCATTGCTCTACTAAAAAGTTTCAGGAATAAAATAATTAATAATGCTGACATTTAAGGAAGTGTTAACACAGTTGATGGTAGAAAACAAATACAAATTCTCCCATGCTTTCACTTGACAAGAAATAGAAGGAGTAGAATGATTAAAGACTTGCATGAGTTATGACCTGGACACACAGTGAGAATATGGGCATTACACCCATACTTCAAGTTGTGCTCTGCAGATGTGTTGGATGTGTGGGAAACACCCCTGACAGTTCGTCTGGATGGGTTCACTGATGAGCAGTTGCTGTGTCCCAAGAAAGGACTTTGAAACTTTCAGCAACAACACTTTAATTCATCAAGTGTTGCTGATTTCATAGGATGAAATGTAAAAAAGTAAGTTAAGCATTCGTGCACGGGGATTTCACTACGTGGGTAGGTCAAATACGCCTTTGTATTGAAGATGTCTCATTTTATAGAAAGTTGAAAGCAGTGGTGATTGGGAAAAATGGCACACTGCAAAAAAAAACGGAATAGAAGAATATGAAAGTTTAACGACAGTAAGGAGATTGGACATCAGCTTGTCTGGTTATATTTTAAAGAGAGAAACAGCAACTTCAGCTTTAGCAGCAGTGATAGTCATATGCTCAAGCAGAATATAAATCTTAAATACAAATCTAAAACAGACTAGCCTGTTAATTCAGACTAACGATGCCACTGCAATTTAATCTAAAATCCATCTGAAAAGCAACATCCCGACCTAGGTCCGAGATAGAGAGCGTTTTCCCTTAGCGACTTTGTTCTTTCAGGTAATCTGCTTTGTTTTTCAACAGGTAGGATTGCAACGAGTGCCTCAGTCTGTACGCAGTTTCTTCAATCAGGAAATAAGGGCAAAGCGGTATAATATTTGGAAGGAGCACAGATTCGCACCTGCCCCGACACAGCTCCCGCCGTTCCCCGGCACGGCCGCGCAGCCGAGCGGACACGGGCGGCGCCGGCCCTCACACACCACCGGCCCTCACACACCACCGGCCCTCACACATCGCCTGTGACACACCGGCCCTCACACACCACCGGCCCTCACACACCGCCCGCCCCTCACACACCGCCCGCCCCTCACACACCGCCCGCCCCTCACACACCGCCTGCCCCTCACACACCGCCTGTGACACACCGCCCCTCACACACCGGCCCTCAAACACCGGCCCTCACACACCGCCCGCCCCTCACACACCGCCCGCCCCTCACACACCGCCTGTGACACACCGCCCCTCACACACCGGCCCTCAAACACCGGCCCTCACACACCGCCCGCCCCTCACAGCCCGCCCCTCACACACCGCCCGCCCCGCCCCTGCGCATGCGCAGCCCTGGGAGTGGCGGCGGCGCGCGCGAAAATTCGGTGTGGCGGCGGGAGCCGGGCGGCGGGGTAAGGGGTGGGAAGGGTAAGGGCCGGGAAGGGCAAGGGCCGGGAAGGGCAAGGGCCGGGAAGGGTAAGGGATGGGAAGGGCCGGGAAGGGCAGGGAGACAGGGCACGGGGGACCCTCTGCGGTCCCTGCCCGGGGACTGGGAGGGGCAGCGGCAGCTCCTCGCCCGTCGCGCCCCGGCGGACGCGGGCTGTGGTGTCGGGACGGGGCCGTGCCCTGGGGCGGCTCATCCGCGCCCCCGCGGGGGCTGAGGGCGAACGGGCGGCCGGGGGCAGGGGCGGCGTGGCCCCGAGGGGCGGCCCCGGCCCTCGCTGCCCGCCCCGGCGCTGTGGGGTTGGCAGGGGAGGCGCTCCGTGCCCCAGGCCCCGCTGGGCCCCGTCCGGCCTGGCCGCCAGCTCCGCCGGGGATGGGCCACCCACCGCTGCTCTGGGCAGCCTGTGCCAGGGCCTCACCAGCCTCACCACAGAGTTCTTTCCTAACATCTAACCTAAACCCAGGCGTTCCAAGTCATTACCCTTTGTCCTGTCACTACGCACCCCTGTAAAAAGTCTGCTTCTCCCCTCTTGTATCACCCACACAGGCACTACCTCGTGTTGAAAACATCTAGAAAGAGAGAGACTTCCACATCTGTGCTGTCTGCATCTCACTATTCCCCTTCCTTCTAGGGTCTTTGGAAACAGAGCAATAATGCCTCATTTTGTGATACATCTTTGCAACCATAATACGTAGATACTTTCCTAAATGGCTTGTGAATACGGGGGGAGTAAAAAGGTCCCTGCTTTGTTTCTGATTCAGCAGACCTGCTGTCTGACACTTACAGGCTGTGGTGGAGGAACTTCAGTACAGCATGCTTTCAAAGAATACTGTCAGAAAATGTAGCTGGTGTTTTATTTAAACTAAAGACTAGGGAAGATAAGTGCCCTGCAAGTGCTGGGAGAACTTGACGTTTTCGGTTTCAGTTTTGGCTCCCAAATGTAGGTAATTAAACTTACACTCCTCTCCAAAATTTTCCAAATCACCATTTCTTATGTTGAAGAATAACTAAAATAAGTAAAATGGGATAATGCTTTATATCAGTGAAGAATCCTCTAGGTAAAATTTCTGTGATGTTACAATCTAGTGATGACCCTTTGAAAACTAGGAGAATCCTAAGAATCTGGAAATTTTTTCTGTGTGCCTTATCTCTTTCTGTCATTTGTTTCCTCAGTGACTTGGGACAAATAATTTTCTGTTTGTGCCTCTGTTTCCTCATGCTTATGCAGAAATGCTTTTAACTCTGCAGAACTGAAGTATTTCAGTGAAAGGTATGTGCTTCATTACTGTACTAAATATTAGAAGTTCTTAAAAAAATGGGGAAAAACACTTAGTGTAAGAAGTGCAACTCTACACTGTGTGAATATCTCTGGATGTAAATACCAGTACTTTACCTTTCAAATACTTGGGATAAAGAGTTTGGAATGTGTCTTCTTTTCCTATACTTGTGTAAGCTGGGAGAATGCTTGAATTTAGCAGTTGCATGGCTGTTAAAGAAGCATTGTTGGAAATATGAAGACGTTTAGTGTTCATTCATAATTTAATTGAAGAAAGAAAGGCTAAGCATTCTTCTCTGTAACTAAATAGATTGTGTCCCTGTTCCCACTTGTCCTCCTGACCCCCACAGCTTAGTTGGAATATGTTCTGGCTGTCTCCCTTCCTCCTTGTAATTTTAGTTTGTGCAAGTAGAATTGATTGCTGGTCCTTGATATACAGAGGAATACACGTTTTTCTTTTATATTACAGGTCATATGTGACTCCTCTGAAGAGTGGATTAGTGTTCCAACTTGCTGTGTACAGTTTAATGTATGTGCTTCTGCTTCTGATTGGAAACGAGGGAATTACTGTATATTTTTAATTGCAGAACTTATATTTCTTTAAAGGAAAAAAAAAGGTGCCAAGGATTGGTGTGTATGTGGCATCCCCCTCAATGATAGCTCAAAGTATTGCAACTGGCACAAAAGAAATACTGTTTATTTTGTGGTGAAACTTCGAATTAGTGTCTAACCAAGGTGTGTTTTTATCAGAGAAACTGAATTTTACGGAAAGAAATTTCTCTGTATTCCACTCAAGCAATATACAAATATAGCACCCCCAGATCAGTTTTCTTCTGAAGTGTTCTGTCGAAAAGAGGTTGAAGAAAGTGTTTCAGACGTGTGAAGTGGCAGTAAAAAAATCTCTAATAGTGGTTTTAATCTGTAGGAGATGGTGTAACCACGTTTAGAAGTTTTACTGAAAAAGCAGAATTTGTGTTTGGTGCAAAAATTACTCATTGTCTAGGTAACTGCATTCACTTTGCTTTGGCTTACATGAAGCAGTTTGAGAGCATAATAATTGCTAGAATTGTGCAATGAAAACTGTGTAGTAACAGTTCTTGTCAGGTAACCCATGAGGTACGAACTGATGCATTAACTGGCAGATTTGGTGTAGGAAAATGGGTACAAACAATAAACTTTAACAGCAATTTTACAATTATTGCTGAAACATCTAACTTTTCCACTGTAGTGTCTTGGTAAGCTCCTGTGGGGATGAGCTTCTGAACTCTTGAGTGTATAGTTGGAGGGTTTTTTGATGCTTTTTCCTTTGCTTGTGCTTTCATACAAGACAACTGTGGAAAATGCACTGCATTTTGGGTGGAGATTTAAATAGCACTGAGTGTAGAACTAGTTTGTTTCCTTTGTGACCAGTGCACGTCTGTTGATGGGAGAGTACTTTGCTTGTCTCCAAGACACTCAGGACAGATCCCTTAAGGGAATTAGCTCTCAGAAACAGTAAAAAGTGCACACTTCCAGTTAGCATTATATGGAATAGATACACTTCTTATGTTTCCTTTCACTCCTGATTTGTGCTGAAGTTCTCATTTTTGACTTATTTTAGTAGTAGTAGATAAAGAAGAATAATGTGCAACTCAGTCTTTTTTATATGGCAATGGCTCTGGACAGGCTGAGGAATTGATAAGGAGTCTCATCGGACCAGCAAGCCAGTTTATTTAGCTGTAATTAAGAAGGGAGATAAAACACCTCTCTTACTGTGGAGCTGGGCTCTCAGGCTTCTGGAAAAAGACACCTTGTGATGGCTCTGCCATTCTACATCCTGGAACAGTAGTAATGGGTACTTAGTGTATCAGATTAACCTGTTTGGTTTGCTTACCTTGGATCCTCTGTTAATACACAATCAACTCATGTGACTGGTCCCAAAATGCCTGAGTGTTTGTGGTTCCTCTTTTCTGTTTGTTTTGGTTTCCCTTCTTTTCTCCTTTCCTAAAAGTTTTAGGAGCCGTTTTGTTAGGGGAATGATTTTTCAGTTATCTGGGAGGATTAATCTTATCTGGGAAGATCAGATAGGCTCATTAATTTACTCATGTGTGTAAGTTCAGTTCCTGGCTTCAATTTGTTCTAAAAGTCTTTCTTCTGTCCCTGTGCTGATAAGTGTGTTTGATGGCTGATTGCTGCTGTGTCCCTTCTCTCAGCTGTGGTGATTAAGGCTCTCCTGGCCTGTTTTGGTACTCAGAGAAGACCAGCAAGATCTTGGCACTGCATAGATCCCTTAAGAACTCTGCTGACAGCAACAGTTGCACATAGAAATGGGAGTGTAATAAAGAACACAAAAGCAGTGGCTTTGCTTACTTGGCTTTGTATGAGTTTAGGGCAAATATGCATTGTACTCTAGCAATCCAACAGCTTTACCTCACTTTTTTTTTTTTTTGCTGGACAGGGTTCAAACTCAAATAATAGCTGTAATTCACTATGGGGTATTTATTTATGTATTACTCATAGAAATTAATCAAGTTTATTAATGATCTTCAGATTTTTGTCTGGCTCAGGTTCACGTGCTGTACAAATGCTGTGATTGTAAGGGCTGGCTGTATAAAGCTGTATAAAGCAAGCTTGGTTTGCAGGGCTGCTGCGGAGGTTCTGGTTTATTTTTTTGGTTTGTAGCTTACAAAGATACACATTCACTGGCTTCTGTGGCATCTATGAGTGTCTGAATTTGTTTCCAGGTGGGCAACAGTTCTTTTCTAAAAGTGCCACCACAGTCATGTTAATTGACAGTTGTCTTTACAGTTTTGACAGAAAGAACAATGATTGAATACCTCATTTGCTGTTGATTTGAGGAGCTCATTTGCTCTTTCAACCTAAGAAGTGCTTATTTCAGAAGCATTTAAAGGTTGTTGTAGTGCCTGCTGTGCTGTTCCCTGTTCTTCTGTCAATGAAAAATGTAATAATAAAGCAGAAAAAAATATGGGCTGTTTTCTTTTTTGGTATCTTTTACTGGGGCAGTTTGGTTAGATTTTAACATTCTGGCTTGGCAATAGTGCTTATCTCTCAAAAGACCCATTTTTTACAGTGAAATGTGCCACTGGGTATAGATCATATATGGTAAAGCTTTAATTCAGCATTGAGTTATATATAAAACTGCATATGGTTGTATTTTTTCTTTCTCCTTAGTATGGTAGTACAAAGAACAACAGACCTGAAATATTTAATTTATTAGTTTTCTTTAAGGAGAATACTCTTTTTGCACTTAAAGCTAGTGATAAATTAGATATATAGAATTAAATTAGAAATATAGAAATTACAATAAGCAAAGGCCTTCTAATCCCTTTTCTTTTGATTGAGTCTTAAATGCTTTAATTTATCTTGGAACAGACATTTTCAGTTTTTCATCATGCATAGCATTCTAAACAAATGCACAGTCACGTTATTCCAATATTCTCTGTGTGAGATGTTGATGATGACAAACTGAGATAAGAAAAGCCTAAGACACATCTGGGTGGTACATTCCAAGATAATTCATTGATTACTGTGCCCCCTTTGCCACTTTGTCATGATGGGGTTATTAGTTTACCCCCTTTATACTACAGATAAAATTGCCAGCCTCGTGAGATGTGAGCACAGACACCCCCTGCACCCACTGTCACATGTGAACACAGCACAGGTTAGCAGAAATCCTTCTTCATATTTTCAGTCTTGGTTTAAAGACAGTGTTTATTGCTGCCTAACGTGGAGTTACAATCTCTTTCCCAGGATTGTGTAATGGCCCAGGACACTGCAGTACCCAAACTGAACTTTGAATATTGGTTGGATAAAGCTGTTGAATGGGGTCAAGCCACTACACTGGAATCCCAGAAAGATGTGTGCCTTCACTTGCCCCAGCTGCAGGAGTTTCTGCATCAGCTTCATGAAACTTTAAAAGATGTGGTGAGTAACCTTAGCAGGAAGAGTAACCTGTTTTGAAGACACCCTCCAAAATGATCTCCACCATGTTTTGATAAAACCAGAAGCTACAGGTAACAAAGAAGTTTGTGTTGTTGGCCTAATGTACTGCTGGATCAGAGGGGCAAACTGGGGAAACAGTCCCAGGTAATGCAAACAGGAGTGTGCTTCCTGCTTTCCTGATTTATTGGGAAAAGAGCTTTTTCTTCTTGATTGGTAGATGTCACGTGAGATTTCCCAGCCAGTGCTCTAGCCTCTTAACAAAACTCTTTAAATAAACAAGAATTTGATTCTGGTTGTCAGGTCATAAATGGGATGATTTAAAGGGCTCAACATGTAAATGTGTAACTGATCCTTAAAACCTTGGAGGGTCTGGTGCCACGTTAACCCCAGTGCTATGGCACACACTGAGCTCTGGCAGCACGGTCACACCACTGGCATATGCTGCTGCCTGTTCTGCTGAGTAGTTTAATTGTTGTCTGCACTCACTCCAGTGCTTTTTATAAAAGTAAATTCAGTTGTTTAGACGTTTAGTTGTTTCTGTGTTTTTCTGAGCGTGGCTTTTTCAGTGTATATGTTCAGTATAATTAGCTTTAGAAATACTGCATTGTGGCATAAGGCTTGCTTCTTATGGGGGTACTCCTTTTTAAATATCCTTCTTATCTGAAGACTTTGGAGTTGGGTTTGTTTTTTCTGAACTGAATTTAAATTTCAAATAAAAGATTTTTGGGGAGTGGTGTTTCTTCCTATATTTTTGTATCTTTTTCTTAAGAGGGGAAAAAAAAAAAGAGCATTGCTACTTCAAGTAATCTGAGGCTTGGCCTGAAATGGACCTTGTGATATGGCCCCAGAAAGTCTGGGTCTAGCCCCAAACGTGAGACAAATGTAAGGAATTTATTGCAGTAGCAGGAGATGGTTATCATGTTATGCATGTTATCTCAGCACAGCACTATTTTTCAAAGCCTTCATTTATTACATAGTAAAGCTACAAAAATGGAAAAATAAGACTGATTACACAGGATTGTATATAGACTACACTGTTTATTACTTTTATAGTGAAGCTGCTTTCTATTTGGTTAGAAGTTAAATATCAGTTTGTTACTGGCTAGTCATTAAGTAAGTTAATTTAAAGAAAGCAAGCAAAAGTAACAGAAAGATACCTAGTTTTGTGCCATAGTAGGTATTAATTTCTTCTGAAACTGTGAGACTATCAAAGCAGTAAGGATCAACAAAAATGTATGTTAATAGGGCTTTTCATACAATGGGATCTTGGTTACTAATACTGTTCTGGTTGCTGGATGTGAGGCAAATGAACTAATTTTCTACCATAGTTAAGCATTAGGTAAGGAAATGACTTAAGTTTTAACTAACTTGAATTATGACATTATAGCAAATTTCAGGAAGTTCTGCTTTTATTACAAACCTGCAGGTGTTTTGCTTCCAGACCGTTTCACAGTAAAACCATTGGGATTGTAATTTATAACAATATCTATCATTACCAGTTCTGCTAACCTACTTTTGATGTGCAGTGTATTTACTCTCTTTTTGCCTGTTTTTATGTTTTAGCAGGGTTCAGTTGCAGCAATCCAGCAGTTCCCTTTAATTGGACAGCTTCTAGGAAGGCTCTGTTGGAATCCTTTTGTTATAGGACATGGTAAGAACGTCCAGTGATATTCCTGTAGCAGTTCCATAAACTTAGTTCTAGAGATAATTAACATAATACGACTTGTTAGAGACTATAATTTTTTTCCATAAAAACCCAGCATTCTTTTTTACTGAAGTAAAATTTTGAGATGAAAAGGCTGGCCATGTTATTTAAAATATGTGGCTTTGACAAATGTTAAGTTGGCTTTTGGATCTAATGACTTTCATGGATTAGTTACAGAATCTTGACTTGGGACCAGTAGGTTTTAAACCCAGTGAATGTTTAGGTGCATCATGATCTCCAGTCTTACTTTCTTGTTATATTGATTACATTTTGCCAGGGTCTGAAAATGTATAAAATCTAATGCTTCAAATTACTTTCAACAGAAGTCTCTTCCAGTTACGTATCAGAATATTCTATTAGATATGCTAATATAGGAGATTTAACTTTTGTGGTACCTAAGTTTTTCTAATTAGTGTAAAGTTCTCCTAACTTACGATTGAATTTGTTTTTATTGAGTTTATTCTGAACGTGTATTTTCCCTACCTCTCCATCCTCAACTAGTGAAAATGCACATGGAATCAAAATTTAAACAGTTAAGTGGTGGCACAGGAAAAAAACATATGAAAAAAACAAAATGCTGTTACTGGTAGTGAACATGTGTGTGGGTGAGAATATAGAAGAGAAAATAAATTGGGCACAGGAAGGCTGTTGGGAGGGAGCAGACACTCCTTGTGCTCCCTCATCAGCAGTTCTAGTGCCTTTTCCAGGAATTGAGATGTTGATATTTTGATAAATCACTTGGGATCTACTTTTGAGCAGAAACTAATTCTGAGCTTCTCTGTGAGCCCCTTAAAATTACCTTTAATCAGCCTGTTGCTCTTATTAAGAAAAAAAAAAGTCACGTTTTGTCTCTTCTGGTTTATGCTTCCTTTTGGGGAAACGCAGGCAAGGCCAATGTTGTGTTCACCTGGAGGGGTCATTAAGTCAAGCCTCGTGTCTGTGCTGGTTTGGCACAGGCAGAGGGAACTTGTCCACAAAACACACGGTGGGTGTGTGTAATGTCAGCACCTCTCCCCTGAAAGGAAAATTTGGGAAGGGACTATAGGCAGGCCACTGTCTAAACACAGTCCACAGACCAGCAAATGTGTGCTTTTTGAAAAGCCTTTTTGTACTTTATAGATGTATTTACAATGGAAAGGTTTCCCTTGTAATCATAGTTTCTGATGATGTTTGTAACTGTTGATGTTTACAATTACACACGTGCTTTTCTTTTATATTTTCATTTGGAATATACAGGTATTTAGACTATCAAATTTTCTGAGCTGACAATATATTGTTTAATAGAAAGTACCTTCATCTATATTTTTCATCAAAGCTGAAAGCCATCGGTGTCTGCTTTTGGCTCCTTTTCACGACAATCCCAGCAATATGTTCTTGCTTTCCTCTACTTCTTTGCTCTTTTTTGTGTCCCTTCAGCATTTTCTGAAGCTGCAAAAGCACTTTTTCTGCAAGTTGATTGTTACCTCTGAAGTTTGGTTGAGAGTGGAGTTTTACTACAGGGTTTTTGGTTTTGTCTCAAAATGGCAAGCAAGAATTCAGAGAACTTTACTTGCTAAAAGTGGAATCCTTCACTTTAATGCTTAAAGATGAATCCAGGGGATTTTCTGACATCAGTGGACCTGAAGATGTCTGCTTACACATTCCCGCCACTTCCTCTTCCTAGAGCCACCTGAGCACTCTTTGGACTGCCCATTTTAGATTCAGCAGTTTTTCACTTTGTTTGGCACTAGTTCTGAGGATATTCTCTAAGATAGTGCTGGCTGCAGCAGATGCTGACTCTCAAGTGGGTTTCATGTAATTTCTCATTTGGATAAATGGCTCATTCAGGCATGTGTCTGAGCCCAGGCCACCCTCGCAGTAGAAGGAACTAATTTTGCTCAGTTCAGTCTTTCATACTCATAAATGGAGAAGGAAAAACCTTATACTTCTGTATCATGTCCAAACCACAATAGCTATCACCTTAAATGGCTGTCTGTTGGTGCTGGGAGCTGCCCTGGCTGACCACTGAGTGCAGGAAGTGTGGCCTCTGAGGGGAAATAATCTGCTCATAAACACTCCTGGGCAGGAGGGGACCAGGGTGGCCCTGTTTAGAATGCTAATGTGAGGGGAGCACGGCTGGAGAAAACCTCATGGCTCTGCTTGTGGTGCTAAACCACAAGGGATACATGAGGAATTCAGCCTTGGTAAGGAATTCCAGTGTTTTTTTCCGTGGGCTGGGGGATTATCTTCTCAGTAGGACCCTCCTGGTTTGGGTTTTGAGCCCAGACTAATGCTGGAAATGCTGGGGGATCTGTTGGTGTGTCAGTGTGTGTGTGCACTTGTGGGTGCACTCATGCCCACAGAAAGCTCAGTTTTAGCTAACCAACATTTTCTGATAGATTTCAATAAAATTTTACAACGAGCTCTAAAAATAATATTTCTGGCTCTAAGATTAGAGTTTATTTCCTTCCATCTGACCCCACTCATAAGAGGGTTTTTATAAACTACCTGTATCTTAGGATGATTGAGACTGCACTGTGTTGTGAGAAAAACATTCCCTTTTTTTCTTTTTTTCCCTTTTCTAAAAAAATTTTGTTCTGAGATTGGCAGGAAAGAAGTGCAGTCTGATTGATCATAAAGGTTTAGGCTTTTGGTTGGTTGGTTTCGTGTTTTTTAGTTCCTTTTTGTTTGTTTGTTTGTATTTTCTTGGGTTTGTTTTGTTTTCTTTTATTTTCTTTTCTTTTGGTTTTTTTTACAAAAACAACTTCCAATCAGTCTTAAATTTCCTATAGAAAAGTTTTATTCCCTTAGTTGGAGATACATTACCTACCTATCCAGTAGATAGTTGGTGACCTCTTTTGGGCTGTAACTTCCACTGCTGAGTTTTTAATTTAGTTTCTCTGGACATGTTAATTGGTTGGTTATTTGGATAGTCAGCATTCTTTCATGCCATAATAAGATCAAATGCCTTAATTTGTATCCTGATAATGGTTTTCATGTCTCTCTCTGTGTAGTTCATGTAATTGAAAATTATCTCAATAGCCAGGCTTTATAATCAGGCCATATTTTAGTATTAGTAATTAATAATGTTTCAAATCTTCATTTTTCAAGAAGCAACTGGCTGTCATTTAGTTGTTTAAACAAATAAACCACTCTTTGCTTATTTTTCCTCCCTTATAATGTCATAATAGAGTTTAGGTGAAATGTTTTTGAAGGAGATTAAGTTGCCTATTAGTGCTGATGTCTGAATGCTGTTGGAGTATGGTTACAATCAAAGTATAAGGATACTTTGAATTTGTGCTGAGCAGCATGCAATATATGTCCTTTAACTTCGGTCTTACACAACCTAGGAAATTATTAGCCTTGTAAAAATCCTTATTTTGAAAAAACCCCAAGCACATAATGTCAGAATACCCCAAATTGTAGTTGGTTAAAAGTGTATGTTTGGGGAACCATTGCAGAGATGTTAGTCAGTGGGAGGTCAGTAATGGCCTACAGGCTTGTTGGACATTTATTGAGGAATACTGGTTTAAATCAATGTTAACATCTCTGGTCACCTGGTGAAAATACAGGCATTGCTTAATGGAGCTTTTATTTTTTCCTCAGGCCTTCCCAACAAAGCACTTCTAAATAATACTGTTTATTACATCCTGGATAACAAATACACAGAAAACAAAAGAAAGCACTCCTTGGGCTTGATAATGAAATTGTCTCATAATATAATTTCTAAACCTCATGTGGTATCACTTGTTTGTATTATTTTTAACAATCATAGTGTTGCTTACTAAGTGAGTATTATATCAGAGCCACAATACTACATCCAGTTTTCAGAATTTCCGTTTCAATCATGTAGTTTCATTCTGGGGTTAAATTCACTGTAGAAACTCTTAGTATCTGCCAAAGAATATTAGAAAAAAAACTACCAAAGCCTATTGAAAACAAAGTTGTGGGAAATAATTGTAAGTGAAATGGCCCTCAGCTGCTTACCCCAGATAATCAGCTCCTCTGTGATAAAGTCTGTGCATCTGAGCACTGACAGTGTTGCTCATTATGGTGGATTCTTAAAGAAGAGAACTCATTTCCAGCAGTGGGTTAGAATTAAGTAAAACCCAGTCTGATCCTGAACAGAAAATCATTATAGGACTTTTTTTTCCATCAGCATTTACCTACTCTGCTCTCTGCAGAAATACCATTTTCCTGAGACATGGAGACTCCTAATATATTTTTACAGAGAACTTGGTATTTTACATTCTAGCTGTGAATGATTTCATACTTCACAAACCTTAATTTTTCATAAGTGAGCATACTTTAGTTGTGCAAGCTTTGGACACAATGCAATAACTATTTTACTACTGTTGATTATTGTTTATTAATAATGATATTAGATACTGAATTGAAAGTTCCTTGATGATAGCCTCAGGTATTATTCATGTAAATGAGTTACTAGGTTCTGCAAGTTTCTAAGACCATCTAATTATTGTATAGCTTTTGAACACATTGATACCTTTTAAACTGCTGTTGAAGGAAATGGTTACACAAGGTGTACATGTGAATAATGTTAAATGTGTGGTGTGCATCTGGCAGAAGAGGAGCAGTATGAGTTGAGGCTGATATTTAGGGCTTTAGTTCTGTGGATGAATAGGGATTGTTGTGTGTAATTCTGCCTGTGTTTCGTTTGGGTTTTTCTTTTCCCTCTAAATGTATCTTTGTTTGCTTTTTTCCCTGCAGGTGAAAGCCAGAAGACTCTGATGTGGTGCTTGTGCTGTCTGTACAGCAGTGAGCCACAGAACCCCCTGGAAGTGAAGGCCAACAGCTGGATAAGGGTAAGGGAATGGATCCTTCCCAGAACTGCTTTGGATTAAACTGATCATTTAAAGCTGCTGCATCTACAGACACACTGTCAGTCTGTCAGTTCAGAAACTGCTTAAAACACAACTTGCATATGTATTGTGTTGAACTCTATATCAGTCTAATTATAACATAGTCACTGTTAGTTTGTCGTTTTAAATCTTAAAAGAGGTGGCATTTTACAGTGAGTAGTTTTGATGGCTCATAACAGTGGTTTCATCAAGTCTAGAACCTGGGAATAGTAAAGCAGCAATCACAAATCAGGAGGGAAGCAAGCATTGCTATTAAAAATAAGAACCTTTCAATTAGGATAAAATAAATAACTGGAGAAATGCCATAGTTTGTTTGGAGAGCAGCTTAGATTTGCTCTGTAATTTTATCCTTTTTTGGTTTTGTTTAATCTCCTGCCTGTGAAGAATTTAATTGTATCCAAACTTCTTTCAAAGGCAGACAGAGGGGAGGGGCAGCAGTTGTGTGTGGATTTATATTTAGTGACTTAAGAAATAATGAATCCTTAACTTTAATCCCAAATTTGGGGTTCTGCATGCCACATCTGTTCATATTTTATATATTTCCACACTGACTTAGCAAAGCACATCAGCATGTAAATAACTCTCAGCACATTGGTGCTTAACACTTTACATTGCTGAATAGCAATTTGGGGGTGCAGTGCTGTTGCTTTAGTGTCCTTGCATTTTCAGTGGATCCATATAAAAATATGGTATAAAATACAAATGGAATTGTTAATATATTTTTTTATATCTTATAGTCCTCATAACTAGTGAGACTGTAGCAGCCTGAACATTATTTATGTGCAGGTCTGCTAAAGCTGAAGATACTTCTAGACTTCTCTAAATAGCTAATTTCTTACTTACTAGTTTATTTTGTATGTCAGTTTATCTAGGTGTGCATATAATACTAGGATGTACAAATGACTATAAAATAATTGATGGTGATGATGATGCAGATTTTCTGTTAGTAACTAACTATATTTAGCCATGTAATATTGTTGATTTATATAAAATAGTCTGAGAAATAAGTTCTCACAGTCTTTTAGGTACCCTTGGTGCCTGTGTATACCCATTTGGTGGGTTGTACCATGCCATGAAATTCTGAACAATCTAATACTAAGTAAAATCTCCCTTATTTCCTCCCTGTCTTTAACATTTTTTCAGAAGGCTTTTACTGAGGTTAATATACTTGGAATTCAGAGTGTGGCAATGCTTGAATGCCGAAGTAAAGTGATACCAAAAAAAAATTCTGCCTTTTCTGATGTAATTTTGCTGGTTGGTTATAGTCTTCATGATGAAATGGGAGCTGCACGCACAACAGCATGCAGTTAGTTATCTGACAGAGCAAAATTTGTCTTTTTTGTTTTCCTTTTTGCATTAATGATGTTAAGTGGTGAGGGAGAGTTGTACTCAGACAGTCTGTTTCTAGGAGGGAGAATCTAGTTATTTGAATCTAGATCTCATTTGATTAATGTAACCAGACTGTTGGTGTTGCTGATATAAGAAAAAATTAGTCAGGTAAGCAGTAACAAACAGTTGGGGATAGATGGAGGTGGGACTGCTGCTTTTGTCAGCACTGCCACCTGAACCTGTCTTGCATTGAAACTACCATGTTGAGCATTTGATTCAAGCCTTAACTGTAATCTGCAGAATTTTTCCACCCAGTCTGGGTGTCTGAATCAACTGTAATAGCCACTGTGACTCAATGGGTGAAGAGTTAGCCTAAAAGTTAGGAAAGATTGCATGGAGGAGTTCAAAGCACAAACATGTCTCACTGTCATTCAGCACTTCCCTTGTTGCCTCAAGTGGGTGTAGCACAGCACGAGAATACAGCAGGTGAGATTAAAAGAAAATATTAAATTGTTTTCTATAATGATTAGAACTTCTTCTCAGTTTCTTACTGCTCGGTGGGCATGATCACAAAGCTTTTTGAAGAAAGGGGTTTACATAATCATCACTGTAGTTCTGTTCACCAGCAGTTGTGATATAGGGACTATCATGCTTATATTTATAGAAGAACCTAAGTTAAATATTTTGCTACTCTTGAAGGTTTGCTTTTGCCATATGTGATGATGATTTATGTTTAAAAAACGATATACACACACAGTAAGCCCATTCACCCACCTAATGTACACTTAACATTGTTTCCTCCTGAACTGCTTTATTTTCCTAGCTGTAAGTGTCTCAGAAGATTGTCACAGAAAGGGATCTAGACACATTTGCTATGCAAGGCATAATTTGAAGTTAGCATCAGCTGTTTTAATATGGATGACCAGTCTCTGCAGTGATTTGATCTGTCCTCAGCCTTCTTGGTAATGTGGCAGGAGCTTTTTACAGCAAGGATATTCACTTGCTGGTGAAGAAGATGCCCAATACGTTGTGGTACACTATGGAAAAAATTGGCCAAAAGTCTGAAATTTGTAGTTGAAACAAATCCCTGGGGGTAGGGAGGAATGTGGTTTTGTGGCCACATGGTGTAAAGGGAATTGAAGTCCAGAAACAAATTTTAAATAATGCATTGAAATTTGAATGCTACTTAAAAGGTTTTTATGGAAAATTTACCTGTGCTTGGAATAAAATGATGGATTGTCTGAGGTATTTAAGCTCTCTCTCGAGGGTGTGGGCAGCAGTCCATGAGCACACAGAGTGGGGGTCTGTCCATGCACACTGACCCAGGAGCTGTGCAAGAGGAGTTTGCACAGGGGAGCTGCAGTTCAGCTGCCCTAGAACTGATCCTCAGAACAGTCTTGTCCTTTGGCCCTGCAGCTGAGAGTTCATTACGTTTCCTCTGCTTAATACTTCAGCATACACTGAGAAACACTCAGTTTTTGAAAAGGTAAGGTAGCTCACTGTATAGGCCTGCAAGCATCAAATAAATTGGGATCTTTGGGTATCCGTTTAGTTGATGATAGAACAAAGAAAATGTCAGAAAAGCAAAGCAAATCAACCAACCAACAAAAAGCCTCACTCAAACAACCAGAAAGTAAGGAGGACTGCGTAATGGAGACAGAGAACTTTGTCTCCTTACTATTACAACAACAACAAAACTTTTTCGTTTTCTTCCTAGTTATGGGGTTTAAAGTGACTTTCATTAAAATTTTCCTCCCCAAATGCAGTCATGTCTGATTGGAAAATTGTTTGGTCAAGTTAGAGTTGAATCTCTTTTTTGCTGTCACAGCTACGTATGTTGAGTGTGAAATCACACCTTGCTTTTTGTCGTGGCAAGCATGAGTTCCTGAAGAGTATTTTGGGGCCTTTGAGTGCATCTTTGGCTAAGGTCACTCATAGGAAGGTTGATCTCAAGTCTACTAAATTGCTTTTTCGAAGTTGCAAAACAGGTATTTAATGCCAGGTTACTTTTTAACTTTCTTGCCGTTGGCCTAGAAAAGCTGTGTTGTTTTTAGGGACAAGAAGGGCAGCTACCCGTTTGAACTGCATTAGTTACATTTCAGAAACTGAGACTGTGCACGTCTTTTAGTCCTTTAAAAGAATAAAATGTGAAAATAAATTACTGGAGATTGTGCAGTGTAGCCTGCAGTTGTTTTAGGACTAGGTGCTGTTTAAAATGGTAGATGTTTTTTGTTTTGTTTATGATTCTGAACTGTAGTGTTGGGATCCAGGTTCCCTGGGCCTCTTATGAAGCCAAACACAGCATAGGGAGTTAAGATACATCCTGTCACACACCTCTCCCTGATGAGAACAACCATGACCTGGTGAAACTGGTCTTTAAGAAGGTTACTTCGTTTCTCCAGCAGGGCCTTCTCTGGGCAGAGATTTTCAGAGCTAAGTGAAAATATGTGGTTCTGAGATGGACTTCTGGCTAGTGGGGCTAGAACAGCTTCCTCTCACTGCGTGCTACTCTTGCAATCACCATGCAGCAGCTAGAGAGCTTTCCTGAAGCAGGTTTCATTTTTATGAACTTGGTCACACCTTCTCCTCTGCTCTCAGTTTATAAGCTGTGTTTATGAATTGGTTTTGCCTTGGGAATTTGTTCCCAATACTACGCTTATTGTATTGTTTTGGAGGACTGTACGGGCCTGTGAGAATGTTACAATCCATCTCTTTTCAAATGGAGTAAAACAGAAACAGTAAATATCCCTCTTTTAAAATGTTCTCCTTTTTTTTTTCTTTATTTTTTTAAATATAGGATTCATTTTTTCGGTGTTTTACTCTCCCTCAAAGGAATACAAATGAATAAGACAGTGTATACATAATAGCTTAAACATAGGGGTGGAAAGCCTATAAGGCTTGCCCTGTGTTTTCGGAGGTGTTTTTCTGGCTTGACCAAATTTTCCTTTCTGAAAATGTGTAGTTCTTTTGTGAATCTGTGCCCTGTGCATGGCCATGTTATATTAATAGCTGCAGAAATCATAGGTGTTCTTTGTAAGCGTAATTTTTAATGGCACTGGAATTATGAAAATTATTTTTGTTCTATTTTATAAAAGTACCTAATGCAACTTGTGTGTTTTGTCCTTCATTAGATTTTATACATGTTTTCTCTTTCCAGTGTATTATGGGTAATTTTTGAACCGAGCTGAGTGTAATGCCAAAGCCATGTAAAAATTTTGATTCAGAGAGTTTTAATTTTATTGTGACAGTATAATTACACACGAGTAGTCTTGAGATTAGAAGCCAGTTTCCCTTCTGTCCATGCTGTGTGACACTGGTTTTTTTTCATTCTTAGTTGTCTAATGATGCTCACACTAGTGAGAATTCTGTTTTAAGATTCCTGAAATTTTTGGCAACAGTTCAGGATCCTCACTAATAGGAAAATTAATTTCACTATCATCTTTGCTGCATGTACAGTGCATTCAGTTGAACTGAGTTTTGCCTTTTCTTGCCCATAATTATTCTAGGAATGTGGAAGAATTCTACCTGTGTTTTCCCTTGTTTTGATAATGACTAATTCTTCATATTTATGGGGTTTTTAATTCTTAGGGGCTTTGTGTCTCTGTTACATTAAA